CCGCTTTGGATCTGGTGTCCACCGGGGCCCAGCGTGTGAGGAGATCCGTCCCGGCACTGTGCGCAGAAGTGGGTGGCGCATCTCTGATGCTGCATGCGGTAGCCGGCGCCGGCTCCATGCATCCCCCACGACCTCTGTGGAGTCTCAAGCAGACGCGCTGACGCCCCCTAATCATAACTAAGCAGGCGGCAAGACGGAGGATGGGGACGGGCGAGAGGAGCTCGAGAGGCCTCGGAGCCGGGAGAAGCAGGAGAGCACGACGGGGGAGCGGCGCGGGACACGGGACGAGGAGGTGGAGCAGGCAGGCAGCGCAGAGGGCAGAAGGGGGAGTGCGGCAACAGAAGTAGATCAGTCAGCTGGGCGATTTGGTAGGGGGGGCGAGGAGGGCAGAGGAGCGGGCGGCCGCGGGAGAGGCCCGCCAGGGCCTCTTCCAGGGGCGCGAGAGGCCCGCGCTGCAGAGCCGCGGCAAGGCCCTGGCGTTCAGTCGGGCGTGTCCCTCTACAGGAGGAATCTTCGAACAGAGTCCGAAAATCGTCTGGGACTGATTTTCCTAATATTTTTGGATCATTTTTGAATCTATAGGGTTACGCCACATCCGCCGACCCCTCTACAAACTACTGCGCGTCCGGGGCTGCATTCCACGAGGCCTGTCCGATTCCTGGGAGGCTCTTTGGGGCGTTTGGGGGCTCTGCTCGGGCTCCCTGGGGGCTTCTTGGGGCGTGCTGGGGGCTTCTTGCACGTTTTCTCGAGTACCTCTCGCTTGTCCTCCAAAGCCCGCCTGCAGGGCGGCGCGCCCGACCTGACCCTGGCGCAGGTCGGCGAGCGCCTCCGCGCGCTCTGGACGCCAGTGGACCTTTTCGGGGACGACTGTTGGACGATGTTTGAGCATTTTTGGTGCATCTGTGTGTGTGTGTGTGTGTGTGTGTGTGTGTGTTTATTATTATTATTATTATTATTATTATTATTATTATTATTATTATTATTATTATTATTATTATTTAAAAAGAATCATCCAAAATACGGTGGGACGTGCCCGACCTGACCCCGGCGCAGGTCGGCGAGCGCCTCCGCGCGCCTCGGACGCCCGCGGGTGCCGCTCTTTTAGTGGCCCGGCGGCGGAGCTCCGAGAGCCTCCCGGAGCGCCCGCCGGCCTCGGGCGCCGGTGGCCCGCAGGCCACCTGCTCAGACCCCCCCCTTGGGGCAAGGAACAAATCACGACGGGAGGCTTTTTTTCCGTATGCTCGGCCTCTGGGGGCTTTTTTTTTGGGGGGGGGGCCACGCTGTTCAAATCCGCTTCCCCTCATAGGGGGCTATCAGCACACCGCGCGAAGCACACAGCCGCGGGCACGTACCATCCTCAAGCGCGAAAGCGGCGGCGCAGAGCTCTGAAAGGCCAGTCGGGTAGGCGTCACCACAATCAGGGAGGAGGAGGAGGAGGAGGAGGAGGAGGAGGAGGAGGAGGAGGAGGAGGAGGAGGAGGAGGAGGACAGGTAGAACAAGTAGTGGCGGAAGCTGCGTATTACCCTGCGGCCTCTACGCCGACTGAAGATGATGTGTTTGAAGGGATAGCACAAACAGCAAAAAAAACAAATCGGCCTCTGGGGGCCCTTAGCGGGCCTCGGGACCGTCAAGAAACGACTCAGGATGAGAAGCCAGTCCAGGGGAATGGGTCGAGACCTGCAGGGGTCGACGTAAGGAAGTATCCCAGAGCGACCCTACCTAGGAGTTGGAGCCCCGAGGAGAGCAATATTAGTAGTTCATCGTCTCATGCTGAGCTAAGCTATGCTATGCTATGCTATGCTATGCTATGCTGCGCTATGTGATGCTATGCTATGCTATGCTATGCTGCGCTATGCTGCGCTATGCTATGCTGCGCTATGCTATGCTATGCTATGCTATGATATGATATGCTATACTATGCTATGCTATGCTATGATAATGCTGCACTGCGCTAAGATAAGCTAAGCTGAGCTAAGCTAAGCTAAGCTCAGCTAAGCTAAGCTAGGCTAGGTTAAGCTAAGCGAAGCTAAATTAAAGCTCAGCTAGGCTAGGCTAAACTTAGCTAAGCTAAGCTAAGTTAAGCTAGGCTAAGCTAAGATGAGATAAGCAACGCTAAGCTAAGGGGGCGCAACTGGGGGAACCGCGGGGCGGATACTGGGGGAACCGCCCGGGGCGCTTTCCACTGCCTGGCCCCTTTAAGCCCAGAGAGTAGGAAGCCTTCTAGGCAGAGCCTAGGTAGGGAAAAAATCATGACGTCGGGGGTCGGCGCCAGGTAGTCGTAAGTCGGGCCTGTCCCTCTACAGGGGGAAAACAAAAAAATAGTAAAGACAAAAAAAATGGGGACGACTTTGGGACCATTTTTGAGCATTTTTGGTGTATTTGTGTGTGTGTGTGTGTGTGTGTGTTTCCATATAATAAGAATCATCCAAAATACGGGGGGACACGCCCGACTTAAAGGTAGCCAGCGTTGGTGGGCTTGTTCGCTCCCGATCGGCTGCCTCCTGGCCGTCGCGCCGAGACCTGGCCGCTGCCAGGCCCAGATCTGCTGCAGTGGCTTCGACCACGCTCACGCCGAGGGCGAGGGGGCCAGAGCCGACGGGGTCGTGCGGCAACGCCACGTGCATGATCGCCCTCTCCTCGGTGCCGTCTGCGCGCAGGCGGTCCCATCGTCCCATCTCGGGCTGCTCAGTCAGTGCCGCGTCCTCGCTCCACTCTCGCCTGCACCACGCTGCCAGCGCGTTGCGGCATCTGCTGTGCTGCGGCAGAAGCCGGGGCCCACGCTGTCGCAGCAGCAGGCGTGGCTCCCGCAGCGCTGGCGCGGCGCTCCGCACTGCCCCGCTGGGCCCTCGAGGAGCAGGCTCGCGCCGGCCAGCGCGCCGTGCTCGTCGCGGCCCAGCACCTGCAGCTGCGGTGGCCCCGTCTGCCCCCTGGCTGCGCCGTAGGCTCGCGCCCTCTCGGGGTCGAGCGCCTGCCTCAGCGGCCGGCTCTCCAGGGCCTGGGCCGACCGCGTCAGGGTAGCGCTGGGCAGCCCTCCGCCAGCACCTGCGGGTGCGGGTGCGCCGCCGGGCCTGCGCAGGCACCGCGGGGAAGGCCAGGGCGGCGCGCTCGCTCTCGGCCAGCGCGAGCGGGCCCTGCGCGGCGAGCGCTGCCCGCCAGGTGGTGGGCCAGGGGCCCGGGGCAGCTGGGTCGGCGCGCTGCTCGGCGGAAGACACGATATCCTACAGGATGGGTATACTACATGTTTGGGTCGGGCGCGCGCCTCCAATGACAACATCTAGTACCAGCATGTCTTTGCGCATCCCACTCATCCTCGAAGCCCTCGTGGCCCTTCCCGCCTGGCCCCGCTCGGAGGCAGCCTCGGCGCCACGCCGCCCCCTCCTTCCTTGGCTGGCAGGAAGAGCACAGCCCGGGACACTGCAGACAGAGGCCCTCCAAGCCACTCGCCCACCAAGTGGACGACCCAGTGGTCGTCGTGCTAAGCGGGTCGAGCTTCCGTACAATGGTCCGTCCAAGCGGCGCTCTCGCCTCGGCGCGGGCAGCACACCTCGAGCCGTAGGTGGTGGGGCCGTTCACGAAGTTACGCAGCAGCGTGAAGGCCTCGTGGATGGGAAGCCTCCTCCTCATTGAGGGAAGACGGTGGAAGGAGCATAGAAGAGGTGAAGGGAGGAGGGCTGGAAGATGTAGGAAGGAGGGAGGGAAGGAGGGTGGGATGGAGGAGGGAGGACCTCCGAAAGCTCATGACCATACGGACTGTCCTTCTTCCAGCGCGTGGAGGAGGCAGAGAAGAAAGGCAGGGTGGAGGGAGGGAGGGAGCTGGGTGGGCAGGGAGCATGCACGGGGTAGCAGATGGACGGTGGCACGGCGCCCTGGCTGAGTCCGAGAGGGAGGGAGGGAGGGAAGAGGTGGAGGGAGAGGGTGGTGGAGGGAGGGTGCAGGGAGGGTGGTGGGAGGGTGGAGGGAAGGAGGGAGAGAGGGAGGGTGGGAGGGAGGGAGTGTAGAAGAGGATGCAACTCCAGGGAGGTGAAATTCAGAATTGGCGCAGGCACATCCCTGGTCAGAAACCGGCCTAATCTGGCTGAAGCCCATTGAGTTCGGTAGAATCCCGCTTAGTCTGCCTTACTTTGCTCCCGCCTAATCTGGCCCAATCCCTGGCGCATCCTGGATTAATCCATTTTGCTGGCCCCGTTGTTGGGCTCGATAGCCTTCCCTCGCTCCGACGAAGACCTCCCGGCACTGCCTCCCGAGGCACAGTCACGAGCGGCGAACCTCTATCTATCCGCGCCCTCGCGGTCTGAATCCCGGGGCGCGACCCCGCGGATGCGCGGCCGCACGGACCCGTTCCGCCCGGGGCATCCGCGAACAGATGCCCCGCAGCCAGCCGTGTCGGGGGCCCAGGGCCCCGTGGCCATTGGTGCCGCGGCTGCGGGTCCGTCCTGCGGCCACGGGCCCAGGCCCCCGGCGGCGTGACTCTTTCCTGACGCCGACCCTCTGTCCTCCTCCTCCTCCTCCTCCTCCTCCTCCTCGTTCTCCTCCTCCTCCTCCTCCTCCTCCTCCTCCTCCTCCTCCTCCTCCTCCTCCTCCTCCTCCCAGGGCCTCGACGCCTCCCCCAGGGCCAGCTCCTCCTCCCGAAAGCCGTGCCTGGACGCTCCCGAAAGAGGCCCCCCGGGGAGGGCCTCTCTGGAGGCCGCACGTGGCCGGAGAGGCCTCCCGTCGTGCTGTTCTCGTGACTCGAGGGGGCCTGGGGCGGGGGGGGAGGGAGGGAGGGAGGAGGGGAAGAAGCACACAGACACAAGTAATCGTCGACTCCCAGGAAAAGAGGGGAACGTCCCCAGACCCCCTCGAGTAATGAAAAAATCATGACGGGAGGTTTTTCCTACTTTTCGGCCTCTGGGGGCCCTTACCGGCCCTCGGGACCGTCAAAAAACGACTCAGGACGAAAAACCGGTCCCGGGGAATGGGTCGAGACCTCGGGGGGTCGACGTCATGAAAAAATCATTACGTCGGGGGTCTGGGGAGGGAGGAGGGGAAGAAGCACACAGACACAATGAATCGTCGACTCCCAGGAAAAGAGGGGAACGTCTGGGAAGTGGGGGGGAAGACAAAAAACCCAAGAAGACATGGGAAGATAGATGGGGAACATGTTGACCTGTGTGTATTTCTCTGTGTGTCCTGGGGCCCCCTCAGGGAGGGCGGAGCCGGCCGAGGAGGGGGCGGAGGCAGGCCGAGGATCCCGGGCGGCACGGGCAGGCGTGGCCGCAGGCAGCTCCCGGCGGAGGTGCCCGCCGCTGTGCTGAGGCCCCGGCGCCCAGCCCGGAATGCAGCCGCCGCCGCTGCCGTCGGTCCTCGTCCTCGTCTTCGTCGTCCTCGTCGTCGTCGTCCTCGTCGTCGTCGTCCTCGTCGTCGTCGTCGTCGTCGTCGTCGTCGTCCGGCGTCCGGCGTCGTCGACGTCGTTGTCCCTGTCGTCTTCACCTTCTTTGTCGTCGTCGTCGTCGTCGTCGTCGTCGTCGTCGATGTCGATGTCGATGGCGCCGTCGCCCCATCGTCGACGTCTCCGTTGTCGTCGTCATTGTCGCTGCCGCCGCCGTCGTCGGCGTCTCTGTCGGCGTCTTCGTCGCCGTCGCCATTGTCGTCGTGGTCGTCCTTGTCGCCGGCGTCGTCGTCCTCGTCGTCGTGGTCGTTCTTGTCGTCGTGGAGATGAGGAGGAAGAGGAAGATGGACATCTCTGGCGCGTAATGCGCCAGCGCTGGCTAAAGTGTGACACGTCTCCTCCATCTGCGTGCGCACCTCTCTTCACCCGTCCCCTCCTCCTCCCCCCTCGCATCCGCCTTCCCCGCCTACCCCGCCTTCCTCCTCCTCCTCCTCCTTCACCTCCTCCGCCCTTCCTGTTTCACCCACCTCCATTCCGCCCTTTTTCCTTCACCTCCGTCTGCCCTTGTTCGAAGCTTGCCAGCCTGTCCCTTCCGAGATTTCGCTGCCCTGTTTGGCGCTTCTGTCGGTCTCCTCCGCCCTCGCGGGCCCTCGCGCCGCTTATTGCCTTTTTTCGGGTCCTTTGGCTGTCCCCCTTCGTTGCGTTGTGCGGCCTGCGCTTGTCGGAGTTCGGGCCTGACGCTAACCCACGTCCAAACAAATCCGCCTCCCTCCTTCCTCCTCGTCCTGACACAAGGATAAATCGTGAAATCATCTCAGTGGGCTGTCCTTGTGCTTTCGCCCTTGGTTTTCCCGTTCGAGCCAGCTTGAGAACGGCTTGAACGCCCATTCCATCGTCCACCGCCGGCTCATCCTGACAGGTCCTGTGCCATCTGTCCTGGCAGGTCCTGTGCCAAATTGGCCGAGTAATCCAAAAGTCTTCCTCATCCTCGTTCCTTTTTCGCTTTCCGCGTCCGCCCCTACCATAGACGCCTGCCTTCGAGTGCAGTCCCGTCGCCCGGCGGCCTGTACATGTTGCCTTCGCTCCTGATTCAGATGGCAGCACCATGATGGTAGAAAGTGCACTGTGGTCTATGTCTTTTCGTTACTTCTGTCCGCTTGATAGGCTCCGAAGGACTCCTACACTTTGAGAGACGCCATCCCGCACACGTGTCTGGCGCGAGAGGGCGGCACCAGGGATGGAGTCGAGAGCCCCGAGGGGGCCACGCGCCGCAGAGAGTACGACAGCGGAGGCCTGGGCTCTCCTTGATGGTTGATCCGTGGCCAGTCCGATTCAAGGGCAGGTGGCTTCGCAGCGCGGCCCTGCAGCCGCTTTGCCCCCGCGGCGGGCGCCCGCGGAGCGATGGCCCCCAGCGCCACACGCGCGACGGACCGCGGTCGGTCTCCTTCGCCGCCCTGGCACGGGCGCCTTCGCCGGCGCCGGGCGCTGGCGAGGGCCAGGTTGCGCCGAGAGCGCGATCTGGCGGTGCTGGCGGAGCACCGCGGCAGAGAGCCTCCCCTCGGCGTCACCTGGCATGGCGTCCCGCAGGGCGGAGGAAAGACAGCGCTGGACGTGCAAGTCATGCCTTCGCGAGCGCGCGGGGAAGGCGTGGATCAACAGCGCGGATCGGTCATCTTGCTTCCTGTGCGGGATCCACAGGTCGGCGTGCTTCGGCGGCCACTTGGAGCCATCGCTCCCGTCCAAGCGCGGGGAGGATGCCAAAGGCGGAGCTCCACCGAAGGCTGCGACCGGTCTCAACCCATGGAGCAAGGAGACCAAAGAGCTCGAGATGCTTCGCAGAAAGGTCGAGCAGTTGGCAGCTGCTCAGGCCAAGCCTCCAGTGCGCCGCGGGGCAGCCGATGTGGAATAAGAAGGTATTGACATGGAAGCGGAGGCCACTGACGAGTTCACTCGCCATCGGCTCCAGGAGTTGTACAAGGAGTTCGTGGCGGTGGCCAAACACAACTGGCCTGCCTGGCTGGCGTGCAAGCAGGAGCTCGAGGTTGAGCGGGGCCGTGTGCGGGCCAAGTTGCAAGAGCCCAAGCCCATCCACGCACGCGTGCGGACTGTCACGGCCAGATTGGAGTCAGGAGAAGCAGCTGCTCAAGTCCAAGGAGGCCTTGGATCAGCAGCGCGTGCAGCTGGCGGACCTCCTCAAGCAGATTGGGGAAGCCGAGTCGGGCATCCAGCAGCAGGAGCTGGCCATCAAGGACCTGGCGCAGCAGCGGAGCGTGCTGGCCTAGCAGGCGGCGGGCGCGGCAGCCGCTCAACCCATGGCGGCAGTGGGCCTCGATGCGGGAAAGCCCGGGGCAGTCCTCAACCGCTGCGGGCTTGGCGATCAGGTCAACGCGGTTGCCCAGGCCATCATTGCGGAGTTGCCCAACATCTCCAACGCGACGCTTATCCCGGCAGGCGTGGGCACCGAGGCCGGCCTGTCCGTCGCCGCCCCGCTCCAAGAGCCGCCGCCTCCGTCAGCGGTGGCGGCGGCGGATGGTGAACAGCCGGTGGCGGCGTCCGCAGTGGGGCCAGCAGCGCTGGCGCAGGCGACCATCGACGCGCTGTCTTGCGCCGTGCGCTCATGGGCGCATGCGCGCCAGCCTCCAACATCCCACTTGCGGACGAGGAGCTGCGCGAGACAGCGAGGCATATGCGCTGGGTGGCAAGTCTGCCGAGGCCTGCTGCTAGCAGCTACTCCCCCCATTCAGGTGGCGACGGCCCACGCGGTAGCCCCGGCGGCCTTGTCTTCTGACGTCGTGTCGAGAATCTATTATTATCTTGGCGTTGGCTCCGAGTCTCGCGGGTCGACTCGGCCAGCCGCGCCGGGGCCAGTTTTGTATGGAGGTTGCGTTCGGCCTGTGTATCCTGACCTCGCGTTCCACGAGTCTGCATTCCCGCTGGGCGCTCCGGTAGTTGCCTGCCTCGGGCGGCTCCGAGGTATCCAGGACTGCCGCGGGGTCAGTTGTTCGCGGGTCGACCTGTTCTTCAGCTTCCACGCCTCCCACGGCTGCGGCTTCGTCGGGGGCCTCGACTTTTGGCCCTGCGAAGGCTGCAAGCATCCGGGGGGGCCTCGCAATCTCTGATTGTATGTCATCGGCCTCGCGGCAGGGGTTCGACTTCGCAGCCCGAGGGCTGCGCGCACGCAGCGCCCCCGCGACATTCATAGGGGTTCAGGATTCGCCCGCCACGCCTGCCCGAGCCCGGGGCGAATGCCCAATTTCTGCTGGAAGTGATCGTCAGGATAGTCAAGGCGCGGTTGCATTTGAAAAGCTTTTTTCCCTTCGCCCTCGGCTTGCGACCAGCGCGCCTCCTTCCGGCGCGCGGGTTCCGATTTGCTTGGCCGACAGTCTGGCGATGCGGCTTATGGTTGCCCCTGATTCGCTAGCGATTGTGACGATCAATGCAGACGCCTGGGGCGGGGCGCGCACAGTCCTTGAATGGAGTGCAGATGCTAGCCTCGGGTTGGACATTGCCTTCATCCAGGAGACCCGTTTTCCTGTTGAAGAGGCTGCTGGATCAGCCAGGCAATGGCGCATCGCCCAGGGCTCGGGCCCCCCCCGCCGCGTGGGCACTGAGCGCCTGGCTGTCAGTGGAGGTGTTGGTCTGGCTGTTGCTTCGCATATTGGCGTGTGCGACAGCATCCCCATTCCCTCAGAATGGGCCCACCGCCTGGTTGCGCGCAGGGTTCATCTCGGAGAGGGCTCGTCCCTACTCGTGGTCTCGGTGTATATTGGGCTCGCCGGGGGCAACCTCGACTTGTCGCAGGTGTTGGGGGCCATCCATGGCCAGTGCTCTCAGCCCTGCATCGTCGGAGGTGCTTGGAATTTCACGGCCGACGACCTTGCCTCCATCGATTGGGTCACCGAGGCTGGTGGCATCATTGTCAATCCGGGAGTGCCGACCTGCGGGGGCAGTGAATGCGACTATTTCGTTGCGTCGGAGGCGCTGGCCCAATTCATTTTGGCGCCCAGAGCTTTTGCCGACGTCCCCGCTGGCACGCGCGACCGGGTCGCCATCGCCGTCGACGATGTCTGGGCTCAGCCTGTGGTCTGGATTGAAGACCCTCGTCGGGCTTCTGATGTTTCGGCCCGCCTCCCGACTGGGGAGGCCATTGCAGCGGCGCGCAGCGCCCAGCCGCCGGATGAAGCAGGGCGGGAGCTGCGGGAGCTCAACTGGCCGATCACGTCGTTGCAGGAGGCTTGTCAAGGCTGGTTTGACCTGGCCAAGCAGTCTCTCATTTGGTCCCAGACTGTGGAAGCCAAGGGCCCCAACCATTTCCGAGGGTGCTCGCGTGGCATGAGGCTCGCGCAGAAACCTCTGGCTGACCGCCTGGAGCGGACGATGCGCAAGGTCGTCTCCTCTGGCACTGGGGCCTGGTGGGGCGCGCTCCGCATCTGGAGAGCCATGCTGCGATGGGGCAAGGCCCCCAGGGGCAGCGCATTTTCTTGCGAGATCGCTACGGGGATCAAGCCGGCCCCCTGCTGACGGAGGCCGCGGCGCTTGTCAGCGCCAACGTGGTGCAGTGGCTGGCGATGGCCGAGCGGGGCAGTCCGCTCGCGGCCTTATTCGAGGACCTCTTGGTGCAGGATGTGGTCAAGCGCAGGAGGCAAGATGCTGCTGCTCGCCCTGCCCCCTGGAGGGAGTGCTGCGCCAAGGCCCGGGAGGGGTCGGGGGGGCTGGCTCACAAGCTCATCAAGTCAAAGGCGGTCGAGTCCTTGCCAGTTTCTTTTCCCGGCGACGAGGGTCTCACGCCTCAGGTCGGCTCTTCGGCCGTTGAGGCCATTGTTCAGGAATGGCTTCCTCTGTGGCGCAAGCGGTCTCGGACCCTCGAGCTCCCAGCCAAGGAATAGAGCGTGCCCCAGACTTTGGAGTCAGCGTTGACGAGGTGCGGTCTGTCTTGAACTCCTTTGGCAGACGCAAGGGGCTTGGGTGGGGCAACCTGCGCCCGGGGGCCATCGCTCAGCTGTCGGACACCTTGGCCCCGCGGTTCGCGGACATCCTCTCGCGCTTCGAGCAGGCGGTGAGGGCCCCAGAGTCACGGGCGAGAGTGGTCGCGTTCATCCCCAAGCCACTCCCAGAGCGAGGTCGGCGCCCGATCGGCCTGTTGGAGCTTTGGCCGCGCGCCTGGGGCCGCGCGCGCCAACGCAAGGTCGAACTTTGAGAAGTCAGTGGGCTGCAGTTTTTTCCGGGGTAATTCGGGTGACGCGGCTGCGGACAGAGCTGCGTAACCCAGGAAGCATTACTTGGTGTATCTTCGGTTGCTGGAAGCGTCCGGATGCTAAAGTTATCGTTCGGTTATTTCGGCCCCTCGGAATATCGAATGAAAAATGCGGTGCTACGATATCGCCGGGGGGGTTCTTAAATGCTTCCTGGGGTTATATCCGCAAGTTGTTGGTCACGCGCTCCAGGGAGGACTATCTAGGGGGTGGGGCTTTGCATATTGAGATGAGTAAGTGTTATGATAGCGTGTCCCGCAGCTGCGATGCGGGAGGCTGCGCGCCACCGTGGATTCGCTGGGCAGTTGCTGCGGGGTCTCTGCGCCCTGCGCAGCGGGCCAGGATGGGCGCGATGGCTGGGCGCGACTTCCCGGCAGGCCGAGCCCGACGGCATTGCGATCGCGGGCTGCTCTTGCGCGACGAGCGCGGTGAAGCTCCTGGCCGCGTGCGTCCTATGGACCATCGCTGTGGAAGCTCCTGCGTGTAGGCCGCTGAACCTTGTGGATGACTTGGCGGTCCATGCCGTCGGGGGCGTGCAGACCGCTTCTTCTCGACTGGGTTTGGCGGCCAAGGTGGTGATTTTTGAAAAGGACAGGCTCGGGCTCCCACTGAACATCTCCAAAACGTTTTACATGTGCTCAAATGCTGGACTCGCCCAGGCATTGTTTGAGCATCCGGGGTGGCCTTTTGATGCTAGCTTCCTTGCCGGCGCCCGCCGTGATTTGGGCGGCGATGCGAACGACGGCAAGCACCGTGGGAGTCCGACCCAGCTGAGGCGCCTCCAGCCCGCGTCGGCCGCCGCGACCCTGCGCCAGAAGATTGGGGCGAAGGCCGCGTGGGGAGCTCACGGCATGGGTCTTGGGACCTCGGCCCCTTGCTGTCTTCGGGTTGCGGCGGCCCGCTCCTTTGGCCCTCTCCAGCCCGGGTCCCCCCTGGGACTCCCCCTCCTCCTCAGCGTGGGCCCGCAGCGAGATCCTTTTGTTTGGATCGCCGTCGATGCTGTGAAGACGTTTGTGCCCAGCTGGTGGCATGAGAGCGCTTCCAAAACTGGGTTTTTGTTTGCTTTTTCCGATGCGCCTGCGTGCGCAGCTGAGCCCAGACCCTGGGGGGCGGCCAAGCAGCCGATTTCAGCCCTCGTGCTGTCGCTTGCGAGGACTGGCTAGCAGCTGGACGTTCCCGACGAAACGCTCCCTGATCATCTTGGGCGAATCTGGTACTTTTCTCGTTGCTCCCCAGCGTTTTTTCGCCGAGCGCGTCAGGGGAGCTTGCGAGGGGGCCATTGTCCGCGATGAGCAGGAACGTCAGCAGGAGTTCGTGGCTGAGTGGAAGGGGCCTATGTGCCTCAAGCCTGCGTTGCACCCGCTGTCTTTCAAGAGCTCGCCCTTCAGTGATCGCTGCAAGAATTGTTTGCGAGGCCTCCTCGTCGCAGACAGGTGCTGGTGCCAGCGGCGCTTCCATGGCTCCTGTCACGACCTGACCCCCCAGTGTCTCCCGTGTAGCGGAGCTCCAGGGACGCAGTTCCATCGTAGGTTCCACTGCGATAGCCGCGACGAGTGGAGGACAATGGCTCTGCGCGGCGATCTGCGGGCCCAGCGTATCTCCCGTCTCAGGCCTCGCGCCCAGGAGCATTTTGCGCGCTGCGCCCTGCCTGGCCCGGCGCGCCGGGTCAGCGGCCGTCGGGGCCTCCCGAGGCCACCGTGCACAGGTACAACTGGCCTTCGGAAGGATTGTTCCTTGATGCCGGTACCCATATTTTCACCATGTTTCGCGTTCTGAACTCTCTCTCCCGCGCATCCGCTCGGCGGGGTGGGCCGCGGCGATTGCGGACGGGCGGGGGGGGGGTTCTTCGGGCGATCCATGGGCGGGTGCCCTTGGCAGACGGGCCTGCCCGAGTGGCTCGCGATGGCGAAGACTTCGCGGTTGTCTCGCTCGTCCGTTTCGCTTCCTTGAGCCCTGGGGCCCACGTTCATTGTGACTGCTCGGGGGCAATGGATTGTCTGAAGGCACCAGAGTTGCCCCGTCAACTCCCG